AAGATTATGTTACAAGCATTTCTAACATGATAACCTTAGATTATTTTTGGAATCGAATTGTATCATAAGGGCAATTATTCCATGATTCTGATCTCAATACTTATTATCTAAAGCAATATGTCAGGACAATTATGCAATCAAACAATTTTGTTATTCGCTTAGTTAGTTCTTTAACATATTGCATTATACTTATTTAGAACCATATGATATTTATGCATTATGTTTTATAAAGTATTACGAAAAGAGCATCATTTTCACAACAATATTGAGAATATATTCACATTAAAATATTTTTGTGTATAATGAAGAAAAATAATGATTTTGATATAGAAAGCTTACCCAAACTATATGAATTAAATAAAGTTGAACATATAATATTCTAAATAAAAATTATCTGTATTTAGGAATATCAAAATTTAAAGATTCAATCAAGTTTGTTGAAAGTCAAAATAAAGGTAATTTATATATGATTATATTTTTTACGTTAAACCACGCGTTAGCAGATGCCAAATAAAACACAAAGTTTATAAATTTGGTAGAAGTGATAGGTAGGGTAGATGCTAAATAAAAAAAATTCCAAGATGCAACAATTGAAATTAATATAGTTTTAATACGGACCAATATATTTCTTTAGTTTCTTTAAAAAATGGAAACCCCTAAAAATATTTTAAATAATAATTTAAGAATAAATATATTTTACTTATTGAGAACAGGATGAGTATTATTATGTAAAAATTGTAATTTATTCTTAAATACAATTACTCACAAAATGTTTGTAATTACTAATTCCTTTTCTAAACGGTAATTAAATACTAATTACCTGTAATCGTGATTTTCTAGAGTAATTATAATTACAATTCATTTTCTAGTAAAATAAAAACTAAAGTAGGATTTGATTAAAAATCATAAAAAATAACGGGAAACTTTATTAATTAGCTTATAATAATATCTTATTCTTTATTACAATTTTTTTATGTTTAAGAAATATATAGCTTTAATCATTCAATAAAAGAACAATATCATAAATCATTTGCATATAAATTATTTAAATATACATTTGATAAATGTAATCATATTCTGTGTTACAAAATCTAATGTCATTAATGATGTATAGGCGTAGCCAGGATTTTTCTAAGGGGGTGGTTGATACATTTATTAGGGGCTTCGCCCCCAGACCCCGCAAGCCTTTGGCCCGACTTTGTTTGGCATTCAGATTGGTTTCCTTAGCCCATATATAGCTAGAAAATATTTTAAGTATAGGAGGTTATTTTTAATAAAGACAACTTATTATCACTATTTAAAATGTAAAAAATTGGTAGCCAATTTAAAATAATTATACTGACTCTTTCGTTTTATATATAATACATAATATCAGTTAAAATGCAATCACGGGAAAAGATATAAATAATAACATCTCCATAAATGTTAGGTAGCTAAACCTTAACCAGATATATCATACATACATATAAAATCATTATAAAACAAACATATAATAAACGAATAAGGTAATTCATAATATATTACTTTATTAATTTACAAACATACATATGTATTTATTTTATCAATATTAAAATATATATGCAAAATTATCAATTATGGATATAGTTTCTAATTAACTACAGCCAAGAAATGTATCAAAAAATAAGTAAATCTTTTTTTATATATTAATACTTTTTTTCAAGAAATAAATTATAGTCATGTTAAGTTTAAATATCAACTTTACATTTTTTCTTTAAAATTATTGTTTAAGATATATGCACACATTTATGGGGGACAAAGTGTTTGGGGGGGGCTAAGGTGGATAATTTTTACTAACTTAAAATGATATTCAAAAAAGAGTGATACATTTTTGAAGGGGGAGGGTGGGAAGGGGGGGGGGTTGCCACTCTTTTCTATCCTAATCAACAAATGTTATTGAATATATTTTAATTAGTATTTAGTTTAATTTTTTCTAAAAGTATCATTTTTCAAACAGATTATTTAAAGTGTTTTATTCAGGTGCCTACCAGGAAATTGATATGGGTGAGAGGAGCGAGGGGGTGGCAATTAATTTTTTTAAATATAAATCTATTTGGCTAGTAACTTTAAGATAAATATTCTAAAAATTGTTACATGTATATAAACTGACAAAGTATTCATGGAAAAAAATATGGTTGTATTAAATAATGGGGAAAAATAGTTAAGAAGCATTATAAAAATTTATAATGTATAATTCATCATAGCTAATTTTTAAATGATTCCATCAGTGCTTGGTTTCAACTCCCTATGCATATTAAGAAGAGCTAACACCCATTCAATCTATTTTTAGAGGTAGAACTTCTCAATTGTTGTTAAACGGCACGTTTTGAGCCGCGGCTAAAATCGAGAGATTTAATAATACTACTTCTCAGGTACAAGAATAAAATATTCATTGGTAGAAGTATTTATTGATAGATTTGGCGAAATATAAAATAATTATTATATATTAAGAAATACATCTTAAATGTGTTTTAAATTAGGCAAAGCATCTATAACATTTTTTGGAACATTACATAATCATCCATATTTAGCCTTTTATACCATAGTTTGCATTTAGCTATAAATGTATCACGTTTTTACCTAATTTAAAAATAATTTATCATCTCAGTATAAAAATCTGTAAAATATATATTTTTTTTCTATCAAGATTTGGAATAAATTCGGTAAGAGGTAATAATATTTAGAGATTTGTAAATGCTGCCTGATTAATCAAAAACCTTTCATTCATTTAGTTATAAAAATGTCCAAAAGAGAAATAAAAATATTTATCATATAATATTATTAAACTGACTAAAAATTAAATAAACGAATGAAGTTAAAGATTGTTTGAATTAATTTTGAAAATATAAGTTATTCTGACTATAAATGATCATAAATCTATATAAAAATATATAATTAAAAGAAGGGAAATAAAATAATAGAAATAATTTAAGATAATTAAAAAAAATAAAATATAATTTTTTTAAATTAGGTATGAACGACGGGGCTTAATGACCCATCTATGGATATGCAGTTAGAACGACAGATTTCAGTTGATATTTTCTGTCGAAGATAAAATATATACATTTTATTTAAATTATAAAAATTAAAATTAGTTATATTCATCATTTTAAAATATTAAATTTTTAAAAGTAGCGAATATTTTAGACAGGTCTTTGAACCAGAACCCTAATATTTTGCTGAATCCATTTTAAAATATTAAACTTTTAGTTATTTTAAAAAATATATTAAAAATAACATATATAAAACTATATTAAAATTAAAAACAAAAATTATTTAAAACATAATTTCAATATAAAAACTTTTTGTGAAAATCATTTTTCGTGGCTTTTTATTAAATTTTGAGTTCTCTATTTTATATAAAAATTTTACCAGCATATTTTGTAACTTTTTTATAATATAAATAATGTATATTATATATATAAGGAATATTTATTGTCTGTTGAATTATTAAATTAAGAGTAAGAACAAAAAAAAATTAAATCACAAGATAAAATAGCTACTACATGCAAATTGCAATGCCCTATCAATGTTAGGTTTTTAAATATTTTAGTTTTAACATCTCGATTTTGGAAGATATTAAAATTCGCTTATAAAATTTTAAAAAACATATAGAATATAATCTTTTAATTGTATTACCTATTACCTAATGATAAATTTGATTGCTAAATATAGTAAAATAAATTTTTATAAAAAATGATATTTTAATTTTAGTCTTTATTTTTCTGTACCACGAACCCTGAATTCGAACTTGGTTGAACGAGAACCCTTTTTTTCAGGAGGGTTTACAGCTGGTTATGGCTACTCGAAAAAAATAGCAGCGCTATTAATTAGCTACTTTTTTAAAATAAAAGTCGCACTCTACTAAAAAAAATGTATCGCGTTACCTTTAATAGCATTGAAATCATATCATTAATTATATTTTAATAATCTAGATGACGATACATTATTAAATACATCTGTAATAAATTTTAAAAAAATTATAAGATAGAAAAGTATCGGGATGGGCAAGTCCTACTCCATATATATCGTCTTCGGACAGATTTAACGTCTCTAGATGCGTCCACCCTGGATCATTTTATTCTTTATTTAAATATTCAACAATAACTTTGATAATATAATGATGTTTATGAATTTTATTCTATTTATTATAAAATGTGAGGAAAAAAATGATTAGTAATTATTCCCTAGTTCTTATTTTTGTAAATTTATTTTATAATTATGATAATTAATCAAGTAAAAAAATGAATAGAAGTATAACATTAATTTTTTTTTGGACCAAGTGTCGTGCCTATATTTTATTTATGATGTTACCACCAACTTAATTGGTCCTGAATGACTCCACTATGAATCAGGGTTCAAAAGATGTTGTCCTGAAGGGAACAGGTTATTTTTAGCTGAGGTCCAACCCTAATACTGAATATATTCTATTTTTTTCATACCTCATGATATTTTTCAAATCATTTGCATATTCCTTAAGCCAAGTTCGGTTAAAGGGAAAAAAATTAAAAGGGGGTTCAAGATATTTATGGCTTCACCTAAAAATACTGAACCAGGTTTGCAATAGCTATATCAACTTCAAATTTAGTTTATCCTTTATATACATTTATTTACTATATAAATCAAAATTTGAATAAGTTAATATTGTTAAACTACCTTATCAATTAAGGTTTTTCGATTTATAAGCTATAAAACACATTATTCTTTTAAAGTTTTATTATAAATTTAAAAAAGCATTCTCAAGTTGACATAAAAAGCCTAACGATTCATTTAGAGAATATCAAAAGGGAAAATCGTAGATTGGAGACTGTGTTAGAAAAATTGAAGAATTGTTACGATGAGTCATTGGAAAAATTGAATTCCATTAGAAGTGATTTTAATCTATCTTTCAAAGACTCTAAATTTTGATTATCATTTTTATATAAAATTTAATATTGTAATGAAATATAATGTATTTAGACACAAGCAATTTATTTGCATCATCAGGTGTAAAGAATAAATAAATGTTATTAAAAAATATTTATAATAGTTGTAAATAGCTAAAATGCACACTTTAAATACTAATGTTAGAATTGTCTATCATATCATTAATTGATCCAAGTATGGTGTATTTTTCAAGTTTCCCCTAACTGCTAGTGCACATTTGTTTATCAACTTTTTGGCAACCTTAATATAAAATAAACAAAATATTTACTGCATCATATAAAACTATTTTGCCTATTTTAGTAAGACTATGGCGATATAATAGGAAGTTCAGTAAAGACTTATTATGAAGATAAAATGTTACAACACCGGCTGCACATACATCAATCTCACTATCGGAATAATCGCAATATTTAATCTTTTATAGGATAGGCTAATTATAATAAAAAATGATTTTGAGTTCTTAATTATTCAAAAAATTTATGGGAAGCATGGGCACTCATTCTTGTATAAAATAGCAACATATGTAATTGTACAAAATGGAACTTATATAGAAAGGTAATTATTTAACAATATAATCATAAATTATTCAGTTGCCATGACCTCCACATAAGAAAAAATTGCTTTGAAAATTATAAAACTATTATAATATCAGATTTGTTTTGGTGAATATAGACAATAGGATTGGTGAAAAGGTAAATAGATGCCACCCTATAACTAATTTTAAGGATGTCAAAAAGGGTTAAAAATATTAAACTTGTACTTTAGATATATCTACAACTTCTATTGTATCGATCATGCCCAAAATTTTATCCGAGTTAGACACCTGATGAGTTAACGATGCTTGTAACATTGCATCCTCTATAAATATAGTAGGATCTTCCAAGGACATTAAGTAAGATGATTTAAGCATTTTTCTTATAGTAAAAAAAACACATTTTATATAATTCGAAAAATAACGTTATTATAAATCTAGGGTAGAAAAGGGATCACAATTTTATACTATTAAAAAAATATTAAAAACTATTTCATATTACATTTACTATAATTACTTCGCCATTTCGAGTTCCTTTTTCTCGACACCTGTCTTCCCTATCTCTCTAAAACAATCGACAGAACACCTTAACAATCTATCCATATACTCTGGTTGGCTTATTATGTAAACTCCAAAGAGTCCCGTGTCGCTATAATTAACGTTGTAGCAAGTCATCTGATAAAAGATTAATTTAAAATTAAGTTGGCGATGAAGTTATATTTTAATAGGTTTGTCAATAACTTAGAAATCTTACATAATAATGATAAATAAAGAAAAATCAACCATTAGTGTCAAAAAGAAAGGAGCAAAAGGGTTCAAATTTTTTTTGACCCCTAAATTTATTTATAAATGAATTTACATTATCATTTATTATATAACCAATTTAGCCATTTTTAATAACATTTTTTATGAGAACCTTAACTCAGTATAAAGAACTAACTTAAAACCCCCCTAAATTGATAAAAGCCAATGACGCCTATGATTTTATACATTCTTTATCAATGCCATCCAGTTAGTCGGAATAATGTTCATCGCAAATCTTAATTTTTATGATAAAATATGAAAGGTGTTAATTGACTCATCCATCAATTACCTATTTAAATATATGCTGATAAAAGCATTTGGAATAAATATAAATAAGGATTGAAATATAAAAATAATTAACTATACAATACAATATTATTATAATGTTTAGTATATTTACCCTTGAACCTTTTGCAAAAAAAAGTTAAAAATTTACGGAAAAGGGGCTCAATATTGGATTCATTTTATAGTTCAAACAATGCTTAGTCATTTTCCCCGAGGTCTGAAGCGTCCCGTATTTTGTGTGAGGTCCTAATCCCATTATTTTTTGCAAGAGAGCTAAGCTTAACATATCTTTAGAATTATTGTGGCTATAAAAAAATCGGCAAATAATAAATAAAAGTGCTTATAGTTATATTATTAATTTTTACCTACTGCCTTCGGATACTAACAAAGCATAGGTAAGTGGTGACATTGTATGCACTCTGGATTCATCTAAAATAATAAATAGAATATTTATGAATCAAGCGATTCAATCTTGTTTTACCCGATTTTTTAAGTAAAGATTTTTTAAGTGATTTAATTAATATTTATAATTAATATAAAGAAAGCGTGAGTTATAAAATAACGCAAAAATTAAATATTATTTGGCTGAGCTATGGTCTAAATTTTATTAATAGGGGATAAAATATTAGCTCATTTTAATTTATCCCCAAATACAAATTATTGAAGGATTTTAAAACCGTGCAGATGATTTATATAGTTAAACAGGACCGTAAACATGAAAGGCCTTTGGGGATACCCCCACCACCCAAGCAAAATTTAGCGGAATGCATGCAATGATAAGTGTTTCATGCAATATAAGTAAATTATAATTAAAAATTTAATGAGCAATTTATCTAATTTTGCTATCATTATATATAATATGCTGAAAATTCCTTTATTCATATTCTAAAAATTGTTATAATATTTAACTAGCATTATTAGTTTTATAAAAGTAATTTTTGCCAAATATAAGCTTAGCATGTAAATTTTAAAAATTGCTCCTACCCCACACTAGTTAAAAATTTTGGTTACAACTCCGTAGAAGAAATTTCCTAAATTAACAAAAACCCGGTTAATTTGATATTGGGGGAATATTTTGTCCTTATTAATAAAATTTAACTGAATATTTGCCCGAAATCAAATAAATCAATTTTAGAAATGTTAACTTAATAAATAAATTGTCTGCAGTTTTGTCAATAAAATTTAATTGACGATATCTCAGCAAAATATTATTTATTTTGAATATTTATAACTCATGAAAATTCCTTTATATTTATTATAAATATAATATCAAACAGTTAAGCGAATTATTTTGACCCTTTGTTTGGTTGGTTATAGGCTATTAGATAATATTTTTTAATAACTTGAATAAAAAATTCTGTTGTTGATCTGTGAATTCCGAACAATTTTGTTTAGATTGTCATCTCTAGTCTTTTCGTTATTAATCTCTTCCGCATTTTTAGTGTGTGAAGTTGGATGGTCGGTGCTTAAATGTGAAAAATTCTTATATGCACGATTGGCCAAGGACGAGTGATCCATTCCAACGCCAATCAAGGCCATATTCGGTGCAGTAAAGTGCGATTCATGAAATTCCCTTAACTATAAAATGGTATTAGTAAATATTTTTTTTTAAACTTAGGGCTGTGCCGATTCACAAAATTTACATCAATCCAACCCGATCAGATAGATTGATTTTTATTTAACATCTATCTTTGAACTAACATATAAAATCAATATTCTATATTTAAAAAATCAACTAACTTTCACGTACCCTGCAAAGTGATTTTTTTGCGACCAGAGCCCGACCCGAGAAGAAAATTTTTGTTCCAGTCCGACCCGAGCCCGATTAAAAATATCACATATTGCCACCTTAAATAAAAGTATATTTAATTCCCATGTCAAATAAGTTGGAAAAGCGAGTATAACATTTTTATTTAACATGGTAGGATATAATATATGAAAGTAAGAGAGGTTCACCAGTCACAATCACAGAAAATTGTTAATTTGGGAAATGTAAACAATGTAAATGAATAAGTAAAATGTGTTAGATGAAAAATGACATTTGATTTTGATTGACATTTAGAAGAAACAAAATGATTATTGAGGCTGCAATGTTTATGACTAAATGTAGTGTTGTTATATTGCTCTATTACCAATTTTTCAAAACAGCGAAATCAAGATATTAGCCAAAATATTATTTTACCTGAGCCTCGAAATTTCGCCAATAGATGTCCGAACCTTTAAACAATCTGTGGGCAAAATCTCCAAGCTTGGGTCTCTAAAATAGTGAGTTCCTTTAACAACATTATGTAAATATGACTTTAAAATAATTCGCTTTTTTTTAAATATCAAAAAAATAAAATGAATTTTGGTTCCTAATAATTTATATGAATTATGCATAAAATAAAAATATATTAATTAATTCTATATAAGATCATAAAGTAAACAATAAAAAAATATCGTATCGGCATAGCCCTAATTAAAAATCTACATGTAAACAAATTATATTGTAAAATACAATAAAGCCCCATATTAGGCCAGGCTAACCCCCCCCCCACACTAATATTTACAAGTAATAAAAGAAAAATTATCAATAATAAAATAAATTTTATTTGTTCCATGATATCTTACTAATTAATATTTGATAATCTATCTATAAATAGGTTATAAAAAATTTTGACCTCGAATCCTTTTGATTTTGAAATATAACATGCTATTCAATTAAATATTTTGAATAGAATAAAAATTACAATTATAAAAATGCATTTTATAAGTTTAAAATCATATTACAAAGTTAAATTAGATATTTTAAGAATAATATTCAAAAGTTTGAAAAAAAACAGTTTATGCTGGGCTTTAATATGTAAGAATATAGTACCTTTCCACAAGTATGTTTTCCAATCATAAATTTGGGACTAAATAAAGAGTTTTGCAATCCATTTCTATATATAGCTTTATGAAGGTCTTCAACTAAAGCTTTAAAATAGTAATCATTATATTGGTAGTTTCTAAAAAAATCTAATATTTTTATATAATTCATGATAAAATAGTAATAAAAATGATATTAAATCTTGTATTATTAAGAGATCTATGCTGTGCAAGAATTAATTGATCTACTCTTGGAATAGTGAGGAGAATATAAAAGTTAAAATAAAGATTTATTTCAAAAATATTCCTGAGCCTGCCTTTAACAATATAATCCAAAAAGATGATTTTTATAAACATCTTGGAATGTCAATATACAATTTATATGAAGGGATTTTAGCTGATAAAAATTTGTTTAATTCAATATTTGATCAGCAAAAAATTGTCCCAAAACTGATCCAAAATAGGTAAACTAACCCCTCATTAAAACATTTTTGTTTGATAACTTATTTTAATATTTTCTTAACATTCCAAGATATTGCATTATAACTGCAAATTTTGTGTCGATTCCGAGACACGCATATTTAAAATTAATGCTGTCCAATATAATTGAATATCATTTAAAAACTGATTCGATTTTTAAAAATAATTGAGTAATAATTTGAATTTTATATTTTATTTTTGATACCACCCATTTTTATAAGAATGATGAGCGATATTAAGGATGCAAAAAACATAAATTTAATAACTTTTTTATTCATATGTAAAAAAAAAACTGAACAAAAAAACATGCAATCATAAATTGTGATAATAATTTTATTTTTGTTTTTTTAACTTTTTTTTTTATATCTAAGTGAGGATAATAAGTTAAATCTATACATATTTTTGGTAAATCAATGAATCATGGGGAAATATTTTCAAGTATTTTTTTATTATTTAATAAAAACAACTCGTGATAATTATTTATATTTTATAAAAAATTTAAATTAAATTCATTATTTTTAATGAGATTATAATATCTTATACAAAAACAAAGGTATTATTGAAAGATTATAGTTATCTTATTGACCAAACATGTTGCCATAATATGAAAAGAGATAAAAATTGTCAACAACATATAAATCAGTCGAAATTTTATGATCCAAATGACCAATTTCCACATACTCAGCAAATTGAGCTTGTTTGGAGAGGTCTAAAGGCTAACATTCCAACACAGAAAAAACAATTATGAAACTTGTATATTTGTGAATATAGATATATTGAAATATTAGACATGCCTAATTTTAATAAATTAATTAAAAATATATCTGTTAAAATAAAGTGAGTGTAATTGCTCTTTTCATTTAAAGTCTAGCTAAGCTTGAACTATCACCCCATAATTGGGTTAAGAAATTTTGGAGTAACTTATGAGATGAGTTCATCCAAAATCATTGGGCAGATTGCAGTTATCTGTACTTGCAGGCAGCAAACGCACTTACTTAAACACATAACAGGAAGTAAGTAAATAGAAAAAGGCCATACCCAAAATAAAATATAGATTATTGGAGGATATTGGCTAATTTTAAGTTTAAACTCTATATTTGATGAGATAAGATGATTTGTTAAATTATGAGTTATTTTTATTTTAAAAATGATCCTGCATTATATTATCTTAGATAGGATAGGGTAAATGTATTACTGGATAAAATGAAAGCTTATGTAGATAAAAAACGAATGTAAGCAATTAATAAAGTATCTACTATGTCTGTGAAGATGAATGTGATACTTAGGGGTGAATAAGGGTGTTTGGCGTGTTAATGTAATTAGATTTTATTTTTAGAAATTTTTTAATTATCATGTTGTATGAATTTATAGTAAGAATAAAGCCTACAATATCCCTGATAGTTGTATAGCCAATACAATTTATATATCCCATAATTTTTCCCATTGTAAGAATGAAGGCATGTTATTGATCGTATTGGCTATACAAGGCTATCAAAGATATTAGGCTTAATGACCATGAATCAATTTATATCAGGGACCCGCAGTACAGGCCAGGACCTATTATAATTTAATTTTTTTAAATATACCTGTGTGAGCCGAGTTTGAAACTTTTTTCTTAAAACCAAATATTTTAAATCGCCAAGCTATATAAATTAAAAATATATGAATCTGGGCCGGGCCATGCAAATGGTACCTCTGCAGGTCTCTGATTTATACAATTAAACAATGACAATAATTCAATAAAAAAATAAAATCCAATTGCATCAATTCACAATCCCCTCCTCCCTTTTCAAACCTACATATCTCATTTATCTTCACAGATAGGTAAATACCTATCTTAATTGTAACATTAGTTTTTTTTTACCTAAGCTTTCATTAATTTATCCAGCAACAAATTTACCCTATCCTATTTCATTTCAATCTTAGTAAATTTATCTAAGATAATAATGCAGGACCATTAAAAATAACTCAAATAATTTAACAAATCAACCTATCTCATCAAATATAGTTTAAACTTAAAATTAGCCAATATCCTCCCATAATCAATACTTTATTTAATCGGGTACTGGCTTTTCCCCATCTTTTTACTTCCCGTAGGAATTTAAGTAAGTAGGGTTGCCTCTTGTATGCAAAGGTAACTGCAGCCTGCCCTATAATTGTGGGTGGGCTCATCTCATAGGTTACCAAATTTCTTAATAATAAGAGGGGGAAAGATAGTTCAAGCTTAGCTCTGCTATTCTATAAAGTGAGAGAAAAGGGTGATTGTGACCACTATAATATATTATTAATTATTTAAGCTCAATTTATATAAAATAAATATAAAACCATTTTTATTTAATACAAAATTTGATTATGTGTTGTTTGCAGTAAGGTTAGATTAATATTATAGGAAATGAATTCCAAAAAATGACTACTATGAATTAAAGTATAAAAGATTTCTAAATTAAAATAAGAAACATGTTAGATTACTTATTTTATAAGAGAATTTAGTAAGGGACTAATCATTTTTTTAAATAAAATCATCAAAAATTTAATATAAAAACATAACAAGCAAATTTTTAATTAAAATATTGTATTAATTGGTTTTTAGAAAATATGATATTGGTGGATTATTGAAAAAAATGGGGAACAGGTCATTTTAATATTGGCAAAAATATAATTATGGTGGCCTTACAATAAACCAAATTTAAAGACTAACATTAAAATAGTTATTAAAACATCTTAATAAAAAGCATGGATCTTATTATATATAAAATAAAACTGTTATATCTAGTATTGATTATAAAGATCAAAATTACCAATTTCAGGATCATGTGCTACCATATGAATATCATAACTCAATTTATATATGGAATCTTTAACCTCCCAATGTTTAAAAGCAGGCATAGTTGCCATATATGACAAATATTTGAGAGCAGTGTCACTAAATAAAATTTATAAATAGTGGTTGAAAATTATCATTACATATTATCCCGCTTTGTTTGTAAAATATACATAAAAAAATCTCTTGTTGTTGAAACCCTATAGGTTAAGAAATTATAAAAACCATTTAAACTAAAATTAATACATTAAAGATGAACCAATATGGTCAAGATTTCTTGATAAACCAAATTGTGAACATTTTAAGGTTGCCTAGAAATAAATATAATAAACCTACAAATATATCAAATTATTACTAATGACGAAGCTACTTTCATCATGTGTGTTATGCCAAGGTTTTCTTTATCAAAATTTTCATATCTAGTGCCAGCTTTAACAATAATTCCTATACTTGACAATGGAGAATTATTCTCTAATGAGCAAATAACTAATCCATTTTTTATTTTTGATAACTTTTTTAAAAAGTATTATTTATTTTAAGACTCAAATTAACTTGAAAATCCCTCTGAGGTGAATCTAATTTTTCGATAGGTTTAGGCAGATATTCTTTATTGGTCTTTGTAGCAACGATATTTAATGCCTTTAAGGTTAAAAATCTTCTCTATAATATATGTTTTAATTTATAATCCAAATAAGTTTATTACTATCATTCCTACTCGAAATAAGAAATTAGTTACATTAAATGAAAAATGGCTTCTTGTGTAACAAACATATGACTTTTAGGGATTAGGCAAAGATATAATCATTGCGATTAGGGAAAAAATATTATTAGATCAAACCTAGGGTGCTTAATGATCATAATATAACCAATTAAAGGAAAATTTTGTCAGAGTATATTCAATATTCTTTTTCCATTATTTGACATAATAAATATTAATGTTCCGCAAGTATACCAATTGCAACGTACGGTTTTGGCCAGGAAAAGGTTTTTGATCTTAAGACCTAACCGGGTATTTTTAAAACATAGACTGAGGTTTCATTCATAATGTTGTATTTTAAAGCGTTATTAAATGCAAATCAGATGGGGACCATGGACACCCATTTTGTAACCCATATAGGATTTTGAATACTTTAAATGATTTAAATTAGGTCTGCTAAATACATATTTTCGTGAGTATAGTCTTGAAATAATTGTATGGTAGGATATATTATTTTCTTTCGCTTACATCAAAAATAAAAATTTATATATATATATATGCTTGACCAAAATGGCGTTCTCGGCTGTTTAATATACACCTTTGATGAATGCATCTGAGAAATATTTACAACCCGGATAAAAAATTTTTAAGACCCCGATTTATAAAACAGTTTAACGAAAAAAAATATTGGTTTGATTCAAAATAATATTCGTATTCGGCATAAGTTTGTTTCTAAGGAAATATTAAATAATTTAATCTAATAACTTTTAAAAAATATTTTTTTTATGAATATTGTTTTTCATTTAATACCAAAAAAAGTATTGAAATAACTAAGTGTATGTATAATATTTATAATTTCACATTAAAATAATTCAAATTAGAAATAATTTGTGAAATATACCTATATTTTATGAACATGATAAGTATTTTCTGACGATGGATAAAATGGTTTTAAAGTGGAAATAGGAAACATGAATAATGTTATATATTATTCTACTATACAACTATTTTTAAATATATTTAATTTATTCATTTTTGATATCTTCTATATAATAGTGATAATTTAAAATATTCACCTCGGCCCCGCCCGATTATTTAGAAAAAAATATTATTGACCAATTGTAACGTAGACTGACTGCTATGGTAAATTGATTGCGCTTAGTAAATTAGCACTCGATTACTATTTTATTTACCTTGGCTAGTTTTCTATGTAACAAATGATGCTAAGAAGAAAGTTACAGATTAATAAATATATTGTACATTTAGATGATGCATCTTCTTAAAGTTCAATTAGAGAAGAAATTCTCTTTGATAATGAATCAATAACGATGAAGTGTTATAATAAATTTACTAATATTCTACTATGAAATTAAGACTTGTAATCCTACAAGGAACTATAGCAAAAATGCTCAATCGTTTATCATTAATTGCCCCCATTAACTTACTAAAACTTCTATTCTAATAATATTCTAAACTAGCTGGGGAAGAAAAGTAATAATCTCCCTATATACCTAAAGATAAAATATATAAAAATAGAACTAATTGGTTACGTGCTAAGACAATTATCGAACAATAAAATATATCAAGTTATATATCGAGTACTTCTAGTCAAATCATTCTTATTATATAAAAGTAATTGGTTTGAATTTATTACTAAATCATTAGAAGAAATTTATTTTATATCGTCAACAATGCTTCAGGTAGATGAGAATTTAAAAAGATATTTGTTCAATTTGTAATCATTTTAGTAGCAGTTGCTAAATACATAACCAGCATCTACATCCCCGGATAATTACTGGATATAACCCCCCACCCCTCCCTCCCCAAACCTATACCTACTCCCTTTTATAATGGGACCACCTTCATAAATTTTAAAAAGATAACTTAAATCATTAATGCTTTACTACCAACTATCAACATATTGTGAATGTAAAAGAGTTATATTTTAGAACACGTATTCAATTATAAAACCCCTCATTTAGAATGAATGAACCATTTAAGTAGGTAGTTTGGCAGGAATTTGAGTTTATTGATAGAATGTATAACTATTTTAAATTAAATTTAAATAAATAGCAGAAAATTATCCAGAAATAGTTTTATTTGTGATATAATATCCATGGTTGTGTGCAATACGAAATCAAAACCGTTTAATTGCGAAAGCTTGAGACCAAAATATTTTAAAATTTCGCAATCAACCGATTTTTCGTAAAGTAAAAAAATTTTATGGGGCATGGGGGGCGCCGGGTTTTATATTAATATATTATACTTTTTTTTTAAATTTGTTAACTCTGAACAATTATTCTGAATTTTAATTTTATCATTTATTTTATTATGTATACAAAATAAACTGGCATATAAATAATTAAACAATACAAGACATTTCTAAAAATAAAATTTTTTAATACAAAATCTATTTATTACAGTATAAAATATTTTCGATTGCTGATATAAAAAAAATTTGCGTCTAAAGAATTACAAGTGATAAAAAAAGATTAATCAATTCATACACATGCCTCAATTGATAATAGTTTTTAAAAACCACATAATGCAATAATATAATTCTTAGCAACTGACATTGATAAAAGGTTATCAAACTAATATAACTCTCTGTTACCATTTTACACATTTATAGAATGGATTAATAAGGAAAAATTTATAGTCCTAAACCAAATTAACAATTCTTTAGAGAAGAGAGTATAAACGACCAATCCAAATCATAAAACTATTAAGTGGTTAGAGCTTACTTTTAGATTATGATGGTAGCTAGATAAGTAATCGAGAAAATTATTGTGAGATATTAAATTTCTAAAAGATTATCATCCATTTTAAATGATATATAATATATAAACCACTACACAGTTGACCATTATTGTTTATCTAAAAGATTATCATCCATTTTAAATGATATATAATATATAAACTACTGCACAGTTGACCATTATTGTTTATCTAAAATATGCAATCATATGCTATCAGCCGTTGTAGTTAGTGTTGTTAAAACGCCGCGAGTCGCGACCCCGACCCAAAGCTCAGGTCGTTTTATTCGACTCCGACTCAATGTTTGGGTCGTTTTTTTCGACTTCGACCCGAGTTCAAGCCGAAAAAAACGACTTCAACCCAAAATATGGGTCGTTTTTTACGACTCCGACTCAAAATTTGGGTTGTATTTTTCGACTCAAACTTGAAATTTGGGTCGTATTTTTTGACTCAAACTTGAAGTTTGGGTCGTATTTTTCGACTCAAACTTGAAGTTTAGATCGTATTTTTCGACTCCAACTCAAAGTTTGGGTCGTTTTTCTGACTCAGACTCAAACATCGGGTCGTTTCATTCAATCAGACCCAAAATATGGATCTTTTTTTTAAAGACGACTTAAAGTTAGGGTTGCTTTTTTTCACCCCTAACCCAATATCTAGATCATTTTTTTCGACCAAAAGTCAAATAACATTTAGTATATATTAATATTATAGGCGGGAAAGTTACTTAAAGCTTCTTTAAATTATAATGCTCTGATTAACTATTCATCATAGTTATATTTTAAAATTTTTAAGTGAAGATGTACTATAGAAAAGTGCCATTTGTCATGATGGTTATTTTTGAACTTTTTTAAATGAAATAGATAAAAATATATATTGTAGACATGTTAAATCAAAATTTCAGTGATGATGTACCATAGATAAGTTATAATTGTCATAATCGCTATTTTTGAACTTTTTTGGGTTTTTTTAAAGCAAATTGCTAAAAATATATATTCTAAACATGTTAAATTAAAAATTCAGTGAGGATGTATCATAGATAGGTGACAACTGTCATAATCGCTATTTTTGAACTTTTTCAAAATTTTTTAAAGGAAATATCTAAAAATATATATTCTAAACATGTTAAATTAAAAATTCAGTGAGGATGTACCATAGATAGGTGACAATTGCCATAATCGCTATTTTTGAACTTTTTCAAATTTTTTTAAAGGAAATATCTAAAAATATATATTCTAAACATGTTAAATTAAAAATTCAGTGTGGATGTATCATAGATAGGTGACAATTGTCATAATCGGTATTTTTGAACTTTTTCAAATTTTTTTAAAGGAAATAGCTAAAAATATATATTCTAAATATGTTAAATTAAAAATTCAGTGAGGATGTATCATAGATAGGTGACAATTGTTATAATCGCTATTTTTGAACTTTTTCAAATTTTTTTAAAGGAAATATCTAAAAATATATATTCTAAACATTAAATTAAAAATTCAGCGAGGATGTATCATAGATAGGTGACAATTGTCATAATCGCTATTTTTGAACTTTTTCAAATTTTTTTAAAGGAAATATCTAAAAATATATTCTAAACATGTTAAATTAAAAATTCAGTGAGGATGTACCATAGGTGACAATTGTCATAATCGCTATTTTTGAACTTTTTCAAATTTTTTTAAAGGAAATATCTAAAAATATATATTCTAAACATGTTAAATTAAAAATTCAGTGAGGATGTATCATAGATAGGTGAAAATTGTCATAATCGGTATTTTTGAACTTTTTCAAATTTTTTTAAAGGAAATAGATAAAAATATATATTCTAAACATGTTAAATTAAAAATTCAGTGAGGATGTATCATAGATAAGTGACAATTGTCATAATCGCTATTTTTGAACTTTTTCAAATTTTTTTAAAGGAAATATATAAAAATATATATTCTAAACATGTTAAATTAAAAATTCAGTGAGGATGTATCATAGATAGGTGACAATTGTCATAATCGCTATTTTTGAACTTTTTCAAATTTTTTTAAAGGAAATATCTAAAAATATATATTCTAAACATGTTAAATTAAAAATTCAGTGAGGATGTATCATAGATAGGTGACAATTGTCATAATCCCTATTTTTGAACTTTTTCATTTTTTTTTAAAGGAAATATCTAAAAATAAAATATTCTAAACATGTTAAATTAAAAATTCAGTGAGGATGTATGATAGATAGGTGACAAGCTATTTTTAAACTTTTTCAAATTTTTTTAAAGGAAATAGCTAAAAATATATATTCTAAACATGTAAAATTAAAAATTCAGTGAGGATGTATCATAGATAGGTGACAAT